AGGCCTGTGCAGAACGCTTCTCATTTTGTTTACATCCTCGTTTCCTTCCCTCACTCCCAACCCCACTAGACATTCAACAGTGGTCGGTGTGTCTCTTCGTTTCCTGCATCCTTCTGATGACTAGGAAGTTCGAGCAAATCACTTCACCCCGCTGATAGCTCTCGGATCTTTAGCCTATCTTTGTATCGTGTGCCCCCCCCCTTTATTTTTTGATTTGCGAGAGTTCCTCAGTAATGGCCTGGATGTTGATCCCTTAGTAAATCCCACACACCATCAGTCTCTTCTCCTATCCAGGAGTTAACATCGCCCACTGGAGCCTCTGTTGGGAGGAAACCCTCAGTTCTGTCACGTACTTCTCCTTTTATAAAATCTTATTGTTTGTGCTTTTGGGTTTTTGTTTCAAAACAAACCTTCCAAACTCTAGAGCACATGGGTACCCTCCCTTGCTTTTTAGTACTGACCCCAGCTCTCATCTTTCACAAAGCCCTTCTTGAGTTGTCTACTGCACGGAGTGCAAACCTTTCCTTAAAGCCTGGAGAGTATTTTTACTTTTATGGTCCATCCACTGTCTGGCCCAGCCACTCAGGCTGGCCTTGTAGTACAAAAGCAGCTTAGACTGTGTGAATGAATGGGCATGGCTTTGTGTCGGTAGAACTTTATTTATAAAAACAGGTGGTGAGCTGAATTTGGCCCTTGGGCTTTAAGTTCCTGACCCCTGACCTATTGTGTGACAGACCCTGCCCTGCTTCAGTTTCCTGGGGGCACCCAGGAGTGGTCTCCCTAAAAGGGAGGGGGTACAAAACTGGGCCTTGAGTGACAAGGGGGAGCCGGGCAGGCACCATGGGGAAGAAATGTTCCTGGGCAAGGGGAGAGCGTCTGCAGAAGCCTGGAGGCACAGGAGGGCATGGTGAGCTGGGGACTCCAGAGAGTCCCCATCCACCACCCCCACCTGCACCCCCGTAGGCACTTTCAAGATCCAGAAGACTCGGCTGCAGCATGAAGGCTTTGACCCGTGCCAGACCTCCGACCGCCTCTTCTTCCTGGACTTGAAGCAGGGACACTACCTGCCCCTGGACCAGGGTGTCTATGCCCAAATCTGCTCAGGCGCCTTCTCCCTCTGAAGCTCCTCTGCTGGCCAGACTCCTGGCCAGGTCCCTCAAGCAAGGTGGGCTGGGGCCGAGAAACGACCTCAGGAGGAGCCCGAGTCCCTCCCCTCCCCTTGTTCTCCTCCGCCCGGTCCCCTGAGCTCTCTGCTTGCCCTGTCTGCCTATGTCCTGCTCCTGTGCCTGTGTGTCTCTCTCTTCTGCTTCCTGGCAGTGGCATCCCTGCCATCCCCATCTGCCCTTGCCTCTTCCCTTGTTCCCCCATCTCTCCCTGTTCTCCTTCCATTCTCCCAGGTGCAGAGCAGACATCCCCTGGGAACTTCACCTTGCTTGGGGCCTCCATCTGTCATCCCCTCTGGGTCTTAGACCCAGAGTAGGGCCTTCCCACTTCCCTCAGCTGTGCCTTAAGGAGCCCCACTTAGTCCAGGCCTCCTGAGGCTGCTGGGTTTCACACAAGGCCACTGAGTAGCCCTGTGTGAAATCCAGGCAGGCCCACAGCCCTTCCTGCCAGAGGAGCCAGGTTGGTCTTCCCACCCTGCCCATCGTGGGGTGCATCAGCAAGGAACCTCCGGGTCAGTTGGAAATCGCTCCCAGGCAGGGCCAGTTAGTTGCCTTTTGCACTTCCCATCCCTCGTGGGTCACTCCTGCCTTGCCTGCCTTTCCTGATGCCCTGGAAGCTTCCAGAATTGACTGTGATCATTTGGATGTTGCCCCTGCCTGATGTCCCTATTTGGGCATCTCCGCGGAGCTCCTGCTGGAGGGACCCTGAAGACTGCTGGGTGGATGCCACCACTCAGATGCTTACCCTGACAGATGCCTCTTGGGTGTCCCCATCCAGGGTGGTGGCTGTGGGACCCATGGGAGTGGCCTAGTGGAGAGAGCTCAGCTATTGGTGGCATCCGAGGAGGCTTCAGGGGTTCCAGTCGTTAAATGTCCCTGCTGGCCTTACTAGTGACATCCTAGGTAATCCAGCCAGGATGGCTTGGATATCCCCACTGCCTTTCTTGGTGGCCCATCCTGTACTCCTGTTGCTGGGGCTGGCCACTCTGCCTGCCTGCCTGTCAGTTCCTCCGGCAGCACCGTCCAGCACCTAGAACACACAGTAGAGCCAGTAGTGAGTGTACCTGCATTGTTTTGCACAGGCTTTTCTAAGCACCAAGGTTTTGTCTCCTAGTTCATTTTAATAAACATGCAGAACATCCGGTGCCTGAAGGGAGCCCAGTCGTTCCCTGTCCTAAGGAATGCTTTCTGAGTGTCAGAAGGCAGGATCCTCACTGGGAACATGCTCCACCAACACAAGCAAGGCAAACATGGCCTTTTCTTGTTGCCCTGTTGCCCGTTTTTGTATCTGCGAGGCCTCGCAGGAGAGGAGGATGGAGGTTAACATTCCTGCTTCCCCGTGGCCTCCAGGGCCTCACCAAAGCCCTGTCCTGGCCTCAGTTTTTGCAGGGGAGCATCAGCCAGTCCACCTGTGGGTTCCAACAGCTACAGAGGATGGCCCAGAAAAGAGAGTGTGTCTTGGCATGCCTCGCTGCCCCAGGAAGGGTGCCCCTCTTTCTATGGGGCCAGCAGGTGTGGCTGTAGCTCTGAGTGACAAGAGTTGGAATTTTAACCCAGAACCTTGAGCTTCACAGTCTAAACTCTCAACTTCTGCCCTGGCTGGTGTGGCTCAGTTAACTGGAATGTCATCCTGTGTACCAGTAGGCTGGGGGTTCAATTCCTGGTCAGGACACATAACGTAGGTTGCAGGTTTGATCCCTGGTTGGAGTGCGTATGGGAGGCAATCAGTTGATGTTTCTCCTGCTCTAAAATCAATAAACATTTTTTTAAAAATTGAACTCTCAACTTCTACTTTCTGCTGTGCCCTCTCCAGTATTAGTGTCTGTCTCATCTTGTCTCCAGAGGACAGAGGAAGAAAGGTTTGTGATAACAGAGCGCTGGCTGGGAGGGGGCGCTGAAGGGGTGGCCTTGGGCTTGTATGGGGATGGGCAAGGCCTGGGCTGGGTCATGGCCAAATGAACCACCAGTGTGTAGGGTGGGTCCTTGAATGCCAAGCCTACAAGGAGAGGGAGGCAAGGTAGAGCCCTCTGACGTGCCCAGGGAGGATGGGAGAAGGGTCTGCTGCCGGTGGTCATAGGGTACCGCTGGTGTACTGGTAAGTGCATTCTGGGTAGTACCCCTTCATACATCATTACCATGTCCAAAAGTCACCATGTCCCCCTTGCACAGATAAGGAAACTGGGGCACAAAGAGGGGAATGAAGTCACTGTCAGGCTCCTGTCAAGAAAGTGGCCAGGTGGGGAACCTTGGAGAGTACCCAAAGCCTGTGACTCTAGCCATGAAAGCAAAATAAGTTCCCTTCAGGATGCTGATAACAATCCTGATGACACTTATGACTGGCTCTATTTTTAATTTTATTGATTTTAGAGAGACATTGATTTGTTGTTCCTCTTTCGCATTCATTGTTTGGTTCTTGCACCTGCCTGACTGGGACTCAAACCCACAATCTTTTTTTTGTTAATTGTTTCTTGATTAAGCTATTACAGTTATCCCATTTTTTTCTCCCCTTTATTTCCCTCCACTCTGTACCCCCATCTCACCAGCATTCCCCCACCTTAGTTCATGCCCATGGGTCACACATACAAGTTCCTTGGCTTCTCCATTTCCCATAGTATTCTCACCCTCCCCCTATTTTGTACCTACGATTTATGCTTCTTATTCCCTGTACCTTCCCCCCCCCTTTCCACCGATAATGCTCCATGTGATTTCTATTTCTGTGATTCTGTTCCTGTTCTAGTTGTTTTGTTTTTGTTATTTTAGGTTCAGTTGTTCATAGTTGCGAGTTTGTTGTCATTTTGAACCCACGATCTTGGCATATCAGGATGACACTAACCACCTGAGCTACCTGGCCAGGGTTTCTACGTCCTTTTAAAAAATTAATAGATTTTATTAGAGCACTTTTCAGTTTACAGAAAAATGAGTGAAAAGCAGACTTCCTATCTTCCCTCATCATTTAAAAAAAAGATTTTACTTATTCTTAGTGAGAGAGGGAGAAAGGAGATAGAGAAATATACGAGGAACCCGCAATCCAGGCATGAGCCACGACTGAGAATCTAGTGTGTGACATTTTGCTTTGTGGGAAGACAGCCAACCAGCTGCTCCAAGCCGCTCATTAACATCTTGCATCAGTGCTACAGTTGTTAAAACTGACGAGCCAATATGGATTCATCACTTAACTGAAGCCAGCAGTTTACATTAGAGTTCGCTCTCTGTTGTCGAAGTTCTATTTCAATAAATGCACAATGACATGAATCCACTGTTATCATAGAGAATAGTTTCTCCCCCCTAAATAGTCTCTGTGCTTCATCCCTTCCACACCAAATGAGAAGCTCTATGCTTTTTGCGCCAGTCTGGGAGCTCCTCCCTGCAACAGCTCTAGGGGAGGCCTCTGGGTCCAAAGACACAGATGCAGAAGGAATGCAACAAGCACGTTTTCAGCTCCTACTCTGCACTAGGCATAACTCAAAGGGTTTTCGAGGTAAGAGTAAGCAAAACAAACTCTGCATTCAAGGAGCTTATATTTTAATTACCAAAATGCGCCCTCCTCCAGGAAATCTCATTTTCTTCCTTCACTCCAACCCATCCCACGCCCCCCCCCTTTTGGGATCCCCCAGCTCTGGGCTCCTCTTTTTGGCCTCACTCTGTCACTACCAGGTTGGGAGCAAACTGAGCCAGTTATGCCAACCCCACCCCAGGACCGAAGTTAGGTCCAACCTGCAAAAAATTAAATGAGCTCAAAAGGTCCAAATGCCCCGCCCTACCGCGCTTCACTTCTGGGACTGCGCATGTGCCACGGGCGGCTGCCCAAAGGTACTAAGCCTCCAGCTGTGGGCCCGGCCTATACGCAGGCGCACTGGCGGCTGCCGGGAGCGCTTCCGCCTCCCGCCGTCGCCATGGCCGCACCGGCCCCGGGCCTCATCTCTGTCTTCTCCAGTCCTCAGGAGCTGGGCGCTTCCCTGGCACAGTTGGTTGCCCAGCGGGCCAGCTGCTGTCTGGCTGGGGCCCGCGCCCGCTTTGCGCTCGGCCTGTCGGGTGGTAGCCTCGTTTCCATGCTGGCAAGCGAGCTGCCCGCCGCCGTCGCTCCCGCCGGCTTGGCCAGCCTCACGCGCTGGACGCTGGGCTTCTGCGACGAGCGCCTCGTACCGTTCGAGCACGCTGAGAGCACGTACGGCCTCTACAGGGTGAGAACTACGGGGGCCGCCGGGGGCCACGCCGAGAGGGCCGTGCCCGCCGCCTGAGCGCGACTACGGGGGCCGCCAGGGATCACACTATGCTCTTTGCATCTTATGTGGCCGGGTGCTGGGAATGGTCAGCTCTGAGGTCCCACCTAGGCAGCACCTCCTCTGCTACTTGGGTGGGCCAGTAGGGGCTTCGAAGCCCCTCGTCATGCTTTACCAGGCAGTCAGGCAGAGGGAACGGCCTAGAAAAAGGCACGGAATGAAGCAGAGTGGCTCATGTCAGGGAATTTGGGAAGTTCAGGTGCTGCATCCAGGTGCAAGCGCATAGTTACGGAAAGAGCCAGAGCCATATAGGTGGGCTCTGGAGTGGAGCCTGGGCTTCAGTTTCCTTATATACAACCGGGAAGAGTTCTCCAATGTCTCCACGCCAGCAGCTTGTGTGTTAATGACCTCGGAGGCGAGTTGACTTTGAACTCTGGCTCTAGTTCGTATAGAATCAGGGGAACACTCCCCGTTTCACAAGCAGGGAGACAGGCTTTGAGGAGTCATGGTCGGCTCTAGGGTTCCCCAGCTTCGTCTGTGTCTGTGTCTACTTCTGCTCCGGAGGAGGAAAATCTGCCCAGGGAGGTTTTGGAGGGGTGGCTTCACCAGGAAAAGAGCCTCAGGTCATTCTGGTCCTGGTTGTGAAACCAGGTCCTGGTCCAGGTCCAGGTCCAGGTCTGGCCCTGGTCCATTCCATTCTTTTTGCATAGAAGCTTGAGCTGACGATTTCCTTTTTTTCTTTATCTCCCTTCTGCTACACCCCCTCTTTTGTAATAAGGTTTTCTGATTACCAAGTGCTTGATCCACATCATCTTATGAAACCCCACAATAGCCTATGAGGCAAGGCCTGTCAGTACCTCCATTTATTTCATGGATGGAGAAACTGAGGCCAGAGAGGGGTCCCTGCCTGCCCCTAGGTGACCTGCCTGAGTCACCTAGTGAGTGACCAGTGGGGGACCTGGGGGTTTCAACCTGCCCAGCCTGACCCCTTGGTGTATAGCTTGTATATAGGCTGGAGTAGGAAGGTCAGCAGGGCTTCATGGAGGGCACAGATGGGCGGGGTTTTATCCCAAGGGCCAAAGAACCGTGGGGGCTTTGAAACAAGGTTGTGTTGTGGCCAGATAGGTGCAGGCCAAAGCCAGGAAACCACCAGAACTTGAAAGACACCTGGCATATCAACACTGGGATCCATCAAGATCCTGATTCACACGGGTCTGAATGATCCATGTGGTTATACATAAAAACCCACAATGCAGTGACCTGTGCATTAGTGTTGGTGACACTTTCTCCATATGCCACAGACGCACCTGCTCTCCAAGCTACCCATCCCTGACAGCCAGGTGATCACCATTAACCCCCAGCTTCCTGTGGAGGAGGCAGCTGAGGACTACGCCAAGAAGCTGAGACAGGTGAGTCCCTCAGAGCAGCTACAGGGGGACCTTATCCATGCAGTGGCCACTCCCAGGGCGACAGAGCAGTTCTGCGGGTAGCACTGTGTGCTCATCACTGACAGAAACTCCCCTGGGGGTCAGTCGGCAGGCAGACCCAGCTCTGCCCTGGGCAGACCCCTTAAAGAACCCTCCCTTTGAGAGGCCATAGCCCAGCCCCAGGATCCCTAAGGGTACCCTCACCTCTGACACCCTGGTAGCTGGCCTGGGTCCTCATATCTTGGAGACAGTTGTGTCCCCAAACTCTCAGCCAGTCGGGCAGGTGAAATGTGGAACTTCAAAGATTAGAGTCCCTTTTATGCAGGTGTGGCTGAACCTTACTCCCTGTGTTATAGCTACTTGTGATTCTTTTTCTGACAGTTGTCTCTGTGTCCTTTGAGCCCCTCTCTCACAATTTCTGTGGGCTGTCTTCTTCCCCCACCCAGGCCTTCCAAGGGGACTCCATCCCAGTTTTTGACCTGCTTATCCTGGGGGTGGGCCCCGATGGCCATACCTGCTCACTCTTCCCAGACCATCCCCTCCTGCAGGTGAGTGCACGCACATGGTCCCTGCCTGCCCCTGAGCTCTGGCCTCTGCTGTCTGGGGCCTCTGAAGAGAAGCCAAGAGGTGCCTACAGCAGGGTTTGAGTCAGCTTCTGCCAGGGGGCATGCCCACTGAGCTTAATCCTTCTGAGCCTCGGTTTACCCATCTTATAATGGGGGTCTTAAATCAAGTACCACAGATTCGTAGGGTGGGATGGAATGATGATGGACCATACCTACCGTGTGTGAGTACTCAAGCAGTTGAAATTATATTGTCCTCCTGTCTTCACCCGGGCCTCCCACCCCAGGAACGAGAGAAGATAGTAGCCCCCATCAGTGACTCCCCAAAGCCACCTCCACAGCGTGTGACCCTTACACTTCCTGTGCTGAATGCAGCCCGAACTGTCATCTTTGTGGCTACTGGAGAAGGCAAGGCAGCTGTTCTGAAGGTAAAGCTGAGGGCCTCATTCCCAAAAGGTTATGGGGATGTGGGCCTGGGGATAGAATATGACTCCTGGTGCTGAAAGCACCTGATCCCAAGATACTTCAGTAATTCTCGAGTTGAAAGGGAGATGGAAACAGCAGTTACGGGCTGGTTAGTAATAAATAATTACAAAATGAAATTGATGAGATGAGGCCAAAGCTACACTCCTAGGTAAATTCATAGCATTAAAAAAACCCCACTTTTTTGAGAAAAAATATTAAATAGAAAACTACTGAATAAACAAATCAAGCACTTTACTCCTGAATTAAAAAAAATTAGCGATAATACAAATTTTAAATCTAACTAAAGTCAGCAGATGGAATAAATGAAATCAGTCAGAAATTAATGAATTGGTTAATATTGTTAAAAGTTTAATGATAAACAGGTCCAGAAGATAGATAAACCCTTGGCAAAGCTAATCTAGAAGGAAAAAAATCATATGTAAGAATAAGTAAAGAGGAATAAGAAAAAAGGCATAGTTATGCATAATATTTTAGGAAAATATGAAATAAATCAAGATATTAAAGACAAATGAAAATATAGTTTAATGCCATCACTGAAAAGACCGACAACTATAGGAGAAACTGGAAATATTTTTAAATATAAATAAATCATTCTCTCCTCCAGACTGCCAGGCCCAGATGTCCTCGCAGGGGCTGCTAATGTTGGGGTGTAGGGTGCAGACTCTAAAAAGTGCAGCAGACCCATGTCCCTGTCGGTGGTGCCCACTACGGATTCACATGGCCCCACCAGCCTCAGCTTCCCTGTTAAAAAGTGAGTCATGGGTCACGAGGGGGCCCCTCACCATGGTCCCTTTGAGGGGCCCCATAGAGGGAGGACCTCCTGGAGCCTCCACTTCCCAGATTGTAAAATGGGGTGAGAACAGAGGTGACTTCCCAGGTTTGTGGTCAGAAGGCAGTGAGTTCTTACAGCAGCCCAGCTGGCAAAAAGCAGTGTGTAATATGATGCCCACTCACTATGAAGTCCTGTCAGGGAGCTGATACACCACAGCCTGTGGGCCAAGTCCCACCAACCATGAAGGGATTTTACTTACGTTTTAAGTGGTTGTGAAGAAAAAAATCAGAAGAAGAATATTCCTGGACATGGAAAATTCAACAGAATTCTGATTTCAGTGTCCCACCAGTAAAGACTTGTTGGAACGCACATGCCCCTGTCAGTGTGAGCTGAAATCCTGACTCCCTGGTCTTTGCAGAAAAGGTGTGCCAACCCCGAATTATACAGTTACAGATGGTAGAAGGGAAGGGGACTGTCCCTGCTGGCTGTTTTAAGCTGGGTCAACAGGAAGGACATCAGCACATCTTGAAAGTAGGAGAGTCTGTGGACTCTGGTCCATGGGGGGCCCGAGAGCTCTGAGGGGTGCTGGGGGTGCAGCCGGGCCTCACAAACGTGCTCTCTTCACACAGCGCATTTTGGAGGACAAGGAGGACAACCCTCTCCCTGCAGCCCTCGTCCAGCCCCACACTGGGAAACTCTGCTGGTTCCTGGACGAGGCAGCAGCCCGACTCCTGACTGTGCCCTTTGAGAAGCATTCCACTTTGTAGCTGATCCTCGAGGACGCCGCATTTGGGACCACGTGCGGCCTGAGGGGGCTGGGACCTTCGACGGCTGTGCCTCTCCACTGCCATGTTCTGGGCTTCGTTATTAAAAAGCCACGTGGTGCCCTGACTGAAGTGGCTCAGTGGGTTGGGCATCTCCCTGCAAACAGTGGTCACTGGTTTGATTCCTGGTCAGGGCACATGCCTGGGTTGTGGGTTGTCTTTGGCTGGGGGCGTGTGAGAGGCAACCAATCATGCATGGCTGTTTCTCCCTCTCTCCCCCCCGCCACCCCAATAAATAAATGAAAATCTTTCAAAATTAAAAGCCACGTGGTGCTGACAGGGCCCTTCCACCAGCCCTGCCCAGATATTAAAAGGAGCATTTGCTCCAAGTCCTCACTGTCTTTTGGTCCTTGGTGACCAGCGAGACAAGGGGCTCACAGGCTGATCCGAAACCCTTGTGCCAGCAGGTGGAGGACGGGTGGCCGCCCTCGATGGGTGTCCTGGGGCTGTGTAGCGAAGAACCACAGAATTCGTTGACTCACTGTCCTGGAGGCCAGGAGTGTGAAATCAAGGCAGTGGCAGGGTTGGTTCCTTCCGGAGGCTCTGAGGGAAAGGCTGTCCCAGATGTCTCTCCTGGCTCCTGGGGGCTGCCGGCACCCCTTGGCTTATGATAGCATTGCTCCAGTCTCTGCCTCTGTTGTTACATGGCTTTCTCATCGAGTGTCTTTGTGTCCTCTTCCACTAAGGCTACCTGAGCCTGGATAAGGACCCCAAATCCAAGATGAATTCATCTCAAGATCCTTAGCTGTGCCCTGATTGGTGTGGCTCAGTGGATTGAGTGCCCACCTGCAAACCAAAGAGTCACTGGTTCGATTCCTAGTCAGGGCACAAGCCTGGGTTGCAGGCCAGGTCCCCAGTGGGGGGTGTGCGAGAGGCAACTGGTTGATGTGCCTCTTGCACATTGATGTTGCTCCCTCTGTTTCTCCCTTCCTTCTCTCTAAAAAGAAATAAAATCTTAAAAAAAAAAAAAAAGAGATCCTTAGCTAATTACATCTGCAAAGACCCTTATTCCAAATAAGGTCACATTCTGATTTTCCTTATTGACACAGATATATTGTATGTGTTTGTTAAAATACACGTAACACAAAGTTCACAATCACCACCGTTTCTAGGTGTCCAGTTCAGTAGCACAGCTGCTCAACCACCCCCATTTTCTGTCCTCCCAAACCCAAACTGCCCCTGTTAGACATTAACTTCCATCCTCCCCTAGCCCATCATTCTACTTTCTGTCCGAGTTTGACTGTTGTAGGGACCTCATGTAAGTGGGGTCATACACTAGTTGTCCTGTGTCTGACTTCTTTCACTCAGTGTAACGTCCTCAGGTTCATCCAGGTTGCCCCATATGTTACCGTTTCCTTCCTTTTAATGGCTGCATAATATTCTACTCTGTGCACAGGCTGCATTTTGCTTCTCCATTCATCTCTGGGCACTTGGGTTGCTCCCATGGTTTAGCTCTTGTGAATAATGCTGTGAACGTTGGTGTACAGATGGCTCTTTGAGACCCTGCTTTCCATTCTTTTGGGGATATACTCAGAAGTAGAAATGCTGGGTCACATGATAATTCTGTTCATTGACGAGGAACTGTCATACTATTTTCCGCAGCTGGTCAGCATTTCACATTTCCACTAACAGTGCATGAGGGTTCCAATTTCTCCACGTCGTCACCAGCACTTGTTATTTTCTGTGTTTTGATAGTGACCTGTGGATGTGTCCTTTTGGGGGGTGGGTTACAATTCAGGCCACTGCACACTCACTCTGGCTGAGTTCCCAGGGCACACGGAGCCAGCCTTGGCCCCTGTGCCCAGCCCTGCTCAGAGCCTTGTACATGCCAGGACTGCGGCATCTGCGTCTGCTCCGCTCACCCAGCTCCTCTGCTCCGGGGACCGCAGTGGAGAGGCTGGTGGGCACTGGGAGAGGGGAGCTTGGGGACCTGGGGGGCGTCCTGCAGAGGCACCTGAAGGGGACGTGGGAATTGAAACCTTGAAGCTGAAACCCCAGAAAGAGAAGTGTCCTTCAACGTCCTATTGGGGTCAGTCACTCAGACGTGAAAGGGAGGAAGTGGGCCCAGGCCTGAGTGGAAGGAAACGGGTTGAGAAAAGCAGAGGAGGGTGTTGAGGGCCACTCAGCCATGGGCTTGAGCAAGCGCAGGTGGTCGTGACCCCTGGAGCGGAGGGAAAATGAGATCGGCATGGGGGCCCCACAAGGGGGGCCCTGCTTGGAGCATGTCACTTCTCCTGTGCCCCTCTCCCCAGGGCAGCTGCTGTCCCTGCACCAGGTCTGCCTGAGGCTCCTTTTCACCTTGAGGGAAACCTACCCTTCCTGTGGGCCCATAAGACCCCCTGTGGCCCAGGCAACCCCCATGCTCCTCTCCGAACATCTGCCCTCACTCACCCTCCTCCACCCCCCACTTTGTGCTGTTCCCACCTCAGGGTCCTTGTGAGTGCTGGGCCCCTGCCTGCGCTCTTTCCTCCAGCCTTTTCATGGCTTGGGCCCTCACTTCCTTCAGATCTTGGTGCAGCTTCTCCTCCCTGTTCCCTCCCTGCTTCTGGCATTGTCTCCCCCATCCTGTTCCATTTTCTCCCCCACCCTTATCACTATCTGACAGTTTGGATGGCATGCCCACAGTGGTCCGTGGGACCTGGGGCAGCTGGAGGGAGCTGAGGGAGCTGGAGGGAGCCACTGAGAGATGAGACTGGGGATCTACAGGGTCTGGTATTTCCCCCAAGGGCATGGGCAGCTGCAGGAGGTTCTAGAGGTCAGGGCTTGGCATTGGGGTGTGCTGCAGCCTGGGAATAAAGGCACCTTCAAGAGTCACTTAAAGAATGAAATGGCCCTGGCTGGGTAGCTCAGTTGATAAGAGCATCATCTTGATACACCAAGGTTGCAGGTCGTACCTTCGGTCAGGGCACATACAAGAATCAATCAATGAAGGCATAAACAAGTGGAACAATAAACTGATGTTTCTCTCACTCTCGGTCTCTCCGTTCTTTCTCTAAAATCAATCAATAAAAAATATGTAAAAGAAAGAATGAAATGGAGATTAGTGATTGCTTGGTGGGGCTGGGGAGGGTGCTGGGGGTGAGGGAGGAATCAGTGCAGTCCCCACTGGACACCCATCCCCTCCCCTCATCTGGAACCCCAGCACTTGCTCTCCCAGCCCCATCAGTGACCCCGGGGACTGGGGGTGTCTATCTACCTCTGTCTCCCCAGCCTGGTGACTCCTGAGGGGTGCACCAGGGCTGAATTCCCCGAGCATTGCCCAGCATGGGGCCACAGTGGGGATGGGGGTGGGCACCAGAGGTGGGGTAGATGCCCTATCTCTGCCCAGCCTCTCTTCCTTGCCACCCACACCGTCAACTGGTTGCCCAGTCCTGCTAGGTAGCTGCCCTGCATCCCTTCTCCAAAGCCAGCTAGGATTTTTGTCTCCCACCCCTGCACCCAGTCTTGGGGCTGCCCCAGCGGCCCCTACAGAAACCAGCAGCCTTGGTCTCGGGGGAGTTGGGAGGACGCAGGTGCAGGGTGGGGCAGGGCAGGGGGCGGGCCTCCTCATTCCCTCCAACACACGCATGGGGGGACCAAGCTCTGGCGTCTGGCCCCTGGCATTTGTCCCTATAACATCCAGGTTCCTCACAGGCCACCCTGCTCCCTGAGAGCCTCTGAGCAGAGGAACCCGTGGAGCCTTGGGGTGTCCATTTCGCTCTAGGGGATCCCGGGACTCTGCAGCAGGATGGGGGGGCGGCCTTCGAGCCCCCTGGACAAGCGGCAGCAGCAGCACCTGAAGGGTGAGCAGGTGTGGGGAAGGTCGGGGTCGGGGGAGGGGGTCGGGGTTGTCAGGTACCTAGAATGCCCTGTTAATGTGAATTCCAGATAATTTTTTTAATGTAAGTATGTCCCAAACTTTTCATGAGGGCATTATTATGCTAAAAAGTAATTCCTTATTTACCTGAAATTCAAATTTAACTGGTTTCATGTACTTTCATTTGGTCAATCTGGTAACCCACCTCAGGGCATGGGTTTTGCGGGACATGGGCAAGGTGGGAGGTGCCTAGCCAGACCTTGGGGGGTGATTCTCCCAAGAAGTAGGGACCAGTAGGTCCCTCTGGGTGGACCTTGGGCACTGAGCAGAAGTTCTGATTTGAGACAGTGAATGATCAGCGCCCTTCATCCTCCACATGGTTGAGTATTTACTGGGTTCTGGGCACTGGGAATACGATGAGCTCATGATATAGATCAGAAAAGAAGGTCAAGTTACCATTACACAAATGGATTCAAAAGGCAATTTCACAAATGTCAGGTTTTTGTTTCTGTAGTGGCTTAAGGCAAAGATTTATTTCTCTTTCCTATGAAGAGGTACAGTGGCAGGCAGGCCCATAAAAGCCAGACAACCCAACTTATTCCATATCAGGTTTCTACAATGTGTGGCTTCTGTGCTACAGAAATGCTGCTGAAGCTCCAGTCATTGAGTCCAAATTCCAGGCAGCAAAATGGACTGTATGTTTTACATAGAGTCGAGAGAGTACATCTTAGGAGAACAGCTTGAAGAACCTTAACAGTTGTGCCATCACCTCTTAGATCAGGATACAGAATACTTCTGTCACCCCAGAAAGTTCCCGTGTACTAGGATAAGGTTTTTAAAAGATTTTGAAAATTTCCCTAGGTAAGAGTGTGGAAACACTTTCAGGTGCAATGAAACTGTTCATTATCTTGATCATGGCAGAGGTTTCTGAGTGTGGACAGGTGTGAAAGTTCATTAAATTCTATGCTTTGTATAATTGAAGTTTGTCATGCATCAGTTATCAATTAAGCCGGAGTCTCTTAACACCCACCCCACCCATGTGGATGGAAACTGGGAGCAGAGGATTAGGGGTGAATGAAATTTGGAGCATGTCTTGTGGGGTAGCTTTGGGGTTTAGGGTGAGGGTAGAAGCCCACCAGTTACTTCCACCCAGTTCTGCCTTCCTTTGGCAGGTGGCCTGATTCAACCACCTCACTGTGCCCTTGTCCCCGCAGGCCAGGTGGATGCCCTGATGAAGAACTTCCTGCCCCAGTACCGCGTGCAGCTGGCAGCCTCAGTCCTGCGGCAGATTTCCCGGGAGCTGGTGCCCCAGGAGCTGGCTCAATGCCAACTGCTGCACAGCAAAGTGGGTGCCACGGACAGGGGTGGGGAGCTGCCGAGTGAGTGAGGCTGCGGACGCTGTCGGTTCACTGTTGGGGGGGAGTGACCCTCCTCATGCCTTTGTCCTTGCTGGTGCCACAACCTGG